CCTGCATGCGCGGGTGAAAACAATGGGTGCGAGTCTTTATATATATATATATGTGGGTGTATGTTCGAAGAGTGAGTCCCCCGCCCAACAAATGTCCAACGATTCTTTTAATCAAGAGGTTTTGATGAACCTCACCCTTTTTAATACACATCGACTCCAACTTATTTGTGGTTTGGTCAAAGCACCATCCGCTGTTGTTTGGCTGGGGCACTATCACACATGTCACACAAATAAGGGTCACAGACTCCTCAATGATCGGCGGTAAGCCGCTGCTCGGGCGGGTGATGTGCAGTGGCCGCGATGCGCACCAGATCAGCCTGCGGATGACCCCCCCATGCTTGGGTTCGAACGGTGAGATTCTGAGTCCTGAAAGTGTTTAAAGCTAGATGCACCCGGATGTATATACCCCTACGGCTGATTTTGTTTGGCGCCGAAGATCCCAGACACCCCCCAAATTCCAACACATTTTGATCGCTTCCCTTTGTCATGAACATTCGTCAATTTTGCAGGTGGGCATCGACAAGGAGGCAACCATTCAGATGTTGGTTTGCATCGATTGGATGGAAACGTCCGGCCGTACACCAGAACCTCTGCCCTCCCTCTCTGACACAGCACTGCGCAATGCCAAGGCGGTTCGAATCCCGGAGCACGTGGTGACGCTTGGCTCCTGGGCCTTTGACCGGTGCCTTCGTATGATTCTGGTGGAGATCCCCAACTCCGTGACTTCCATTCAAAACGAAGCATTTTCCAACTGCAAATCTTTGGCGAAAGTGGTGATTCCGGATTCTGTGGCTTACCTTGGGTCAGGTGCCTTTCGTCACTGCCATTCTTTGGCCAGTGTGATCCTGTCCAAGTCACTGACAGGCATTGAAAGGAACACCTTCGAAGGTTGCGAGTCCTTGGTGGAACTGGCCATCCCTGGTTCAGTGACAAAGATTATGCAAGATGCCTTCGCAAATTGCAGCTCTTTGGAAAGTATCACAATCCCAGAATTGGTGGTCAAGATTGGAGTGGGCTGCTTCCGGCGTTGCAGAAGTTTGTCATCGCTGGCCGTCCCAAAGTTAGTGACGCAGATTGAAAGACACGTTTTTGCAGAATGCAGCTCATTGATTAGCATTGTTCTCCCTGACTCTGTGAGCAATATTGGGCACAATGCATTTGGAAGCTGCAGCTCATTGGCATGCTTGACAATCCCTGAGTCAGTGACACGCATTGAAGAAGATGCTTTTGCAAACTGCGGCTCTTTGGCGAAGGTGGTGATTCCGGATTCTGTGGCTTATATTGGGCCAGGTGCCTTCTGTCACTGCTGTTCTTTGGCCAGTGTGATCCTGTCCGAGTCACTGACTGGCATTGAAAGGAACACCTTTGAAGGTTGCGAGTCCTTGGTGGAACTCGCCATCCCCAGCTCAGTCAGGTATATCAAGCGTTCAGCCTTCTTGGACTGCCTCTCCTTGCAAACTGTGATTGTGGAAGGTTCAGTGACCCGGATTTCGCAAGAAGCATTTGCAAACTGCAGCTCTTTGACACAGCTAGTGGTCCCAAAGTCCCCGCGACTTGTTGAAGCTAAAGCTGCCAATCTATTGAGAAGGAACCAGTGCGATTCAGTCACTTCCATTGGGCTGAAGGCTTTTCAGAACTGTGGATGCTTGCGCAGTTTGAGAATCCCAGATGCAATCACAGAGATCGAAGCATTGGCATTTGCAGAGTCTTACTTGGCCTTTGGATACTTCAAACTTTGACTCCATGTTTTGGGGTGCTTGTTCCTGCGTTCCTTCAGGAAACTCACTTGATACCCTTTTGCCACTGACCCCTTTCCTCCAAACCTCTCTAAACATCTCCAAACCTGCTCTAAACAATTAGAGTAAATTAGAGTGGGTGAGAGAAACGAGCATGGGGACAGCCCCCGCTATGGTCAAGATTGCGATGCAACTCTGTTTTGGAGTAATTTTTAAAGAAGGTAGTTTAGAGTGCAACTCTAAATTTTTAGAGTGCTACTCTAAAGCTTTAGAGTAGTACTCTAAACCTCTCTAATCCTCTCTAACAAATTAGAGGAACAGGGTCTGTGGCCAGGCTGAGATTCCTCTAGCTATCCCAAGCTAATTCTTGTGGAACCCGGTCCACACACACAGAATAGCTTGAGAGTACTAGTGGGATAGCTAAATCTCAGGAAGAACAAGCTACTTCTGGCTACAAACCCTGAGGTCTAGAGTACTACTCTAAAGTTTTAGAGTAGCACTCTATTATATATTTTGAGTGTGGCTTTAAAACTCCTAATTCTTGGTGTGGGGATCCACTCCAATTGGTGAGAGAATGAACTCAAAATCATGAGTCAATGAAGGACACTCTAAAGTTATCTAATGTTTTTAGAGTGGTTTAGAGTTTAGATCACATCTAAGATTTTCAGGAATGAATGTGTGTTTAGAGTGGTTTAGATAGGTTTAGAGTAGGTTCAGAGTAGGTTTAGATTAGGTTTAGAGTAGGTAAGAGTAGTTTAGATACATTAGAGGAACAGGGTCTGTGGGAAAAGGGTATCACCCAGTCTTCCTGATTCCTTTTGGGAAATTGTTATGCATATCTAATTTCTTTGATTTGGAGGGTTAGGGGGGCATCACGCGAGGATTGCAAGGCGTTGTCAAGCCTTGAAATGTCAAGCCGTGTGGCTCGGATTGGGCCAAGTGCCTTTCGAAACTGCAGCTCTTTGGGTACTTTGCGACTACCTGATTCTGTGCTGGAGATTGGGTTTGGATGCTTCCATGGGTGCAGTTCTTTGAGCAAGCTACTCCTCCCCAAGTCACTGAAGCAGATTGAGTCGTTGACCTTTTCCCGGTGCAGCTCGTTGTGCAGCCTGGTGATCCCTGACTGCGTGACCCAGATTGGGCAAGCCTTGTGTCAACACTGCAGCTCCTTGAAGAGCGCCGCTTGGCAGCTAAAACACCCGATGACTTGGGGATACTGACGAGCACTAGCTTAGCTCTAGCTTAGCACTGAAAAAAGTGTTGCTTAGGCTAGCCCACCTAAGGTAAGGGGGTTCGTTTGGGTGTCATTGAGCGGCCATTGAAAGAAAGGTTGTGATCTCCAACACTGTGACTCGGATTGAGCCCTTGGCCTTTGCAGACTGCACAGCTTTGGTTGAGCTGACGCTCCCAAATTCCCTCGTGCGCATAGGGAGGGCAGCTTTTGTAAACTGTAGCTCGTTGGCATGCTTGACGATCCCTGAGTCAGTGACACGCATTGAAGAAGATGCTTTTGCAAACTGCGGCTCTTTGGCGAAGGTGGTGATTCCGGATTCTGTGGCTTATATTGGGCGAGGTGCCTTCTGTCACTGCTGTTCTTTGGCCAGTGTGATCCTGTCCGAGTCACTGACTGGCATTGAAAGGAACACCTTTGAAGGTTGCGAGTCCTTGGTGGAACTCGCCATCCCCAGCTCAGTGATGCAAATTCATCCAGAAGCCTTCACAGGCTGCAGATCACTCGCAGACATGCCTTCCATTCAGCCGGCATCCGAGATGCCAGGGGGCTACCGCCGATCTGAAAAGAGTGAAGAAAACCGCTTCGCATGGATCGGCTCGCACGTCCTTGGCTTGGATCTGCTCGCATTGCGTCGTAGCGGGAGCTTGTCCGACCCCACTCGGGAACGCATGGAGAGATGTTGCGTCGCGATGGGAGCGATAGACCAAAATCAGTCTACCAATCAATCTGCCAGAGTTTTTGTTTAAATAAGTGACGTCACTATAGCATGCAGATGTTTGGATGAATGAATTTGGTGTACCACTCACCAGTGGAAACTCGCAGTATCCAGACACATGTGTTTTGTGTGTGTGTGCGTGTGTGCGCGTTCTTGTTTCCAATTGGACGACATCGCTGAACACGAGTTTTAAAGTGGCAATCTGGTTTAGACAAAACATGGGGAACCAATACTACCTGCCATTCCTTCTTGATGATGTTTCCCAACATGACCCTTTTTCCAACCAGTTTCTAGAGCATATGTCTCTGAAACAGTTGGGAATGATGCGCCGCCAGACTTCCGCTGTTGGTGGCTGGCCTTTGTGCAGTTTTGGTGTGGTCCATCCTGCTGTTGAGGCGGGACCGGCAGTGCAAAAAATACAAAGTGAAGTTGCAAAAATCATCTAAGAATCTATATACAATTTGCCCAGTCAGGGATGGACTACTACCGGACAACCTGCAAAACCCCTGCTTCAGATGGTTTTCTGCAACACATGTGAAGAGGTGGTGAGGGAACTACTGCCGTTGAAGAAATGATCCAGTTGCTTTGGCCCCTTGATGTTATGTCGGTTCAATTTAGCCTCGGGCATGTTTGAGGCTGGTCAGCATGCCACATACCATGGCGAAGGCATTTGTGAAGTTCTTCAGGGATCAATGGTTACTTACTGGTGCAGGTCAACTTTCACAGCCGCCTAGTATGTTCTGGTACGGAACTCCCACGTCATGCACATATCAGCATGCTTCCCGTTTGCATCCGGCGATGCATTTCAATGAGTCAATCCTAAGCAGATCTAAGCAGAACATGTCCCGTTGAGGGACCGACAGGGCAACATCAGAGAGCAAACCAAGCAACAAATATCACATGAGCTCACATGATCCGAAGCCTCTCACGAACAGTTTAAGCAAAGAGATCGTAGACCGGTTTTGGACACCGCTCCAATGAGCTCAGGGACCGAGCTTCGGATCCTTTGGACCCGACACGGACTCGCAGGGCCCACCGCTGGCCGAGCTTGGAGGTGGGCGGGTCGAATCTGGTGAAAAAGGAACAAGCAAATGGTAGAGAATGAATGATAATGATACAATTATATTATGTATATAGATATAGTCTATATAGTTTTACAACATAGATAGTAACCTAGATATGTACATATTTATAATATATATATAATGATGTCTCGGTCATTGATTTGTCTTAGAATCAGTGTTAGCATCAGTTTTTTGTTTGGTGTTGTTCAGGCATTGATTTAAAGATGGTCTCCGAGGTCTCCCACCCAAGCTGACGCACTCTTCCTTGCCAACATCCAAGGCATGTAAACACGTGCTTAGTACGTATTTCAGGGATGCCGCAAGCGCCAGGACAAGGCCATTTACATAATCACATAAGAATTCGTCAGACCAACAGAGGTGACAGTCCGTGGACCTTGACCAAGGCTACTCATACCGGTGTGGTGATTGATACATCGACACTGAAGGCTTGGTATGCTTGCAGCTCCCTTGGCTCGGCCTTTGTTCCCTCAGGGGGCTGAAGAGCAGGGCAACGATTCAATTGCGACAAGCGCTTTGAAGGCTGTGAAGGCAGGGTTGCGTGGATATCAGAGCCTGTGGCCCTCCCTTTGTCCCAGTAGTGGGCGTTGCTCCAAACGTTGTTATACAGTTTGAGCAAGGGCGCGAAGTAAGAAACAGTAAGAAACAAGAGGTTTGGAACATGATTCAGGTGATTGAGTTCGCAACAAACTCGTGCTGGTGCTGGAAACAAGGAACTCCTCTCGCCTGCAAGGATCGAGGCAGAATAGACCACTTCCGTCTCATGTGTTTGTTATTGTCCACATGTAAATCATGGATTACCGATATGTTGAGCATTGCCACTAGCGCACCTCCGTTTCACGGAACATCAACTATATTAGTTCAGTTCAAACAATTCGTCACCCCCCATAGTACCTTTTAAGGCAACGCAAAACAACTCCCAACCCTATCACTTCACAATGATAGGTTATATTTGCAAGCCTCTATGACTAATTAGGATGCTCAGAATGCTCAGATGATTTGAGAGTAGGTTTGGATGTTTCCTTTCAGGAAGGCCAGGACCATCGCTAATCCGGAAGCGCCTGGGCCAGGTAGACTCAACGCTTGGACGCCGAGAGGGCCAAGGGTGCTTTCCTCAAGCGACGGCGGAGTCTGGGCCATCCCTTTCGATCCCGTTGGAGCAGCGGACCAAAAAGCACCGGTCGAACACTTCTTGTTCTGCCGCTGATTTGTTCCGCCGCCCCGTGCCCAAAATCTTCGACTTGGCAACACACCGCGACCACGAACAATTGAGAAGTAAAGTCCAAGTCGCTTTGGTCCAAAGTCGCTTTTAACATCTTTACAGTATAATAAGTTACGTTGTTGTGACTGGTGACGGTACATTTATGTCCATGTCCACAAGCCCGGAGCCGGCAGGAATCGGTTGTTGGTTGTTGTTGCTGTTGAATCTGAGGGAGGGCATTTGCAGCATCCTTTGTTTGCATGGCAAGCTGCTCAGGCCAGCGCTGCAAAACGCACAGATCTGCGAGCCGGAAGTGCTCAACACGGACGCCCGCGCGCAGCGCTCGGGTGTGGGGAGGGGGAGAAGGCTCGTTAGTTGCGTGTTTAGGGGAGCGTGTTGTACCACAATAGCACTTGCCTGTTGCTTTTGGTGCCTTTGTGGTTGAATAAGAGCGTGGGTTTCAGCCCTTTAGTAATTATTACGGATCGCGCCCATGTTTGCTGAGCCAGTGCCGCCTGGAATGAGGGAATGACCTCAGTCGGGTCTACTGGGCCAACCAATGGTTCTGGTCAGCCACCCTGATTCTGTAAATTGTTCAGGAAACCGGATTGGTGGATCAAACATCTTACGAGGTCGTGCTGGTTGACTGGTCACTGTGATCCTGTGGCCTCAGGATTGAGGTCAGCTAAAGGTATGGTCTCCTGGTGTCTAGCTCGGCATACCCGAGTCTTGCAGCTCAACTGCTGAAGGTCTGGTAGAATATTCTTTGTGCTTGCTGCATCTTGCTGCTTCTACAGTCGGTTTGAAAATTTGAGACGCGAAGACATGCGCAAAGCTTGCGGATTTGCAAGACGTAGTGAATATTGACTGTTCCCCACAGGCCCCAAGGTGTCATCCAGCATACTGTTACTTGTGAGACTTGTGAGCCCCTGTGGAAAAAGTGGTGACCATTGACAAGATTGCCCCCAACAGTTCAGTGAATAATGATCTATCACAAGCGCAGGTGCTGGTTTGGCAACTTAACTTACCTGCCACTGACTGTTCAGTAACTAGGGACTTGGTTTGTAGGATACTTGATGATGTGTTTGGGTCTTAATTTGTAAGTCTTATCACCTTATGGAAGGCCTTCACCATCCTGGAGAAGCTTCGATTGATCTATTCTATAGGCGGCCTCCCCCATGGTTCACCGTCCAGTTCAGGAGTGCACGAGTGAAGACCAACCAGAGCCCCTGGTCGGCCTACCTCGTGCTGGCGTCCGCACCCGCCTGGCGAGGTTTCAAGGCTTGGAGTGGCTGGGCTTTTCAAGGCTTGGAGTGGGAGCTACTCATAGATGATCAGGTTTTGCGGCCGCCCTTGTGAGTTCCAATTGGCTCATTTTACACTGAACACGTGGCGGGCTATGACTCGATGCCCCCAGTGTAAAACGGTCGAGCGAGTCGTTGGAAGTTCTGGGTTTGGGGGCAGTGTTCAATATGCGATGGGGGCTGGAGTCGTATGTCTCTTTGTTGTGACTCCAGCACAGGTTGGAGCCCTGCACAGGCTTAGAGGTGCATCACCGGGGGCACAGTTGGCACAATCCAAGGATACCAGGTATCACCAGGTTGTTCTCCTTTGGAGTTGTGGCTTGTCCTTTTTTCTATGCGGCGTGATGTATCTTTCAGAAAAAATGGCAGCAAGAGCTGATCATGTGAAAGCAAATAGATGCAAATAGCTTGCTTCTAGTCACTGACGTAAATGGTGAAAGCCAGATACCACAACGGCACACGGGACCAGCAAAGTTCTAGATCCAATGATTCACTATTTAAGACTTTGTTGGCCTTGGCTCCAAGGCTCGCCGAGTTCCCTTTGCATGTTCAATCCCTTTCTCAATTTAGTGTTGTCTTCTTATTGAAGCTGTTGGATGAGAGCATATCACAACGAGGGCCAGCACGAACACCAGCAGGGCTGTCAGCAGCCCAAGGTACCAGCTCTACTTGCCGAGCACCTGGCGCGACGACGCTCCGCCTAGGCGCCTTTGACCGACGTACGTCACGACGTCCCGGGCTGGGTGGATGAAGCCTGTTATTGTTGGAGTGCAAGCCTTACCAGAAGCAATCATCTTCAGTCAGTCTTGGCTTTAACCATGGTTGAACTATGTCTATATAACCATATATAACCCATTTGTATCACACGCTAGTCTGTTTTTTCCTGACCTTGGGTAGGTCCGGGTAGGTTGGGAATTCAGATGTCAACTGCCATCACCCACTCATCCACCCAAAAACCTGGTGGATAGGATCTACCCAAGACATCCCAAGACAAATCGCAGCTCATGAGTCATGAGCTATCAGTTACTGATTCAGGTGCTAGATGTGTCATTCTTTCCCCGAGAACACCGAGTGACGAATGGAAGGCCGGCAGAAAAATGACCCAAGGACTTACCCTGTGGTGGTCTTCTTGCATGGCGCTGGAGACGGAAAGTTCAGCGCTCGGGGCCTCAAAACCAGTTGTGCTAAGATGGACAATCCACATGCCAAGATGGCTGTGTGGGCCAAGCAGAATACCCCAATGGCCGGTGGCAGGTGGACATCCCTGGCGCTTAGTTCATTTTCCTAGTATGGTGCATGCTTGAGGAGCAACCGAAGGTCCTGTCGACTGATAGGCATTCTGGATGACAAATCAATTTGATCCATGTATTTGGTGACTCCCATCTCTAGCCATTAGTGATCCTTGGTGTCAGGGCCCTGGACCTTGGTGACTTAAGCGACGACTTCCGCTGGACTCCCTAATTTGCCCATCGCTTGCACAGTTCCAAACATGCAGAACAAATCACCAACCTTCAAACTCATATGATTTGCCCCTTCGGTTCATACAATGTCCCCTTGTACCAACTCCGCGTTTTTGTCCTCCGGTCGGTCTCCTCGAGTCGGGCTCCGAGGTCATGAACTCCCAGAGCCTCCCAAGGCTGCTGACCAGGCGCGCATCCAGTGGTGTTGACCAAGCGGTGCCAGCAGCGGGGTTGAGGGTGGAAGGTCTTAGCACAGCGCAGCATGAGGATCCAAGATGATCTAAATGATCCGAGAATCAGAATGTCAATGCATCACACCTGAACATACCAGACGCCACGGCGGGGCCACGTCATCTTCGCACGCGGGGGTGCGCAATGGTGCACCCGGCATGTCAGGGCCAGGTTCATAGCCAGAGCCGAAAACCTTTCCATCGGAACCATTCCGAGGTAATTACCTAGCTTCCGGGGGGATTTTTTTGGGTGAGGTATGGGTCTAGCTGACATGTCAGAATACTCACCTGCTCCTGCACCATGCCAGCACATATGATTTGCAACCTGCCACGTGAGCGACTCGTTTTTTGAATCAATTATTCAATCATGGGTTGAAACAACCAAATAAGATGAAATATGCCAAATATTCACATTCACTCCAGCCTTTCGTTTGAAGCCTTCGACTGCTGACGCACAGCATCCTTCGCTGCCTCACTTCTTTTTCTCCGAATCGTCCTCGTCACCGTCACCCATGTGTCGTCAGGAATCAGTCCACCTGCTTTGACCATCGCACCTGCTGGTGCCTCCCCAAGGAATATGAAAGGCGCGGTACCGACTTTTGATTCATCGACCCCGTATCAAGAGGTTCTACAATCCAAAAGGGCCTGTATTCATCAACATTCTGCATATGTCTGCATTATTGGCGTGCGCAAATCTCGTTGAGATTGGCTGAGACGACCAAACTCTATTTTGCGTCTTTGCCAAATTCTTGTGCAGAGCACTTTAGAGCTTTGGGGCAACCGATTTGGATGCAGCTAGTGTGAGTGAAATGGATGACCCCTGCGACTCCTGCCACTGTCTTTACACAAGTATCAGATAGTTGATCAACATGGCTGAACCTTGCTTTTACTCTCCGACTGCTTACGCAGAAAGAGAGCCTAGCTGTACAAAAAAGATCAGTCAGTCACGACGTTAGACTTAGACATGAGCATTCTGATGTTTGACTCTAAGTCGATGTTAAGACATTTCACATCACTTTTACCCCATGTCAAACACTATCGGCTGGTATGTTCTTTGACTACAGCTGATGTTCGTCATTTGCCGCTGAACTTCCACACGGTTTTGCCAGGGCAACGGCCATGAAGGAGGCACCAATCCAGTCCCCTGAGGCGTTTCTGTCTGAGGAGGCGCGGCAACCGCTGAGCCGAGAGCGTAGTGTGGGGTGGGTCTCAAGGGGTCGCGCCGAGAGGGGTGAAAGCGAGCATGTTCTGGAGCGTTTTCGCCGTAGTTTGCGGCCCTGTTTTGGGGGGCCTGTAGTGGCATGTCCTGTTTGACCAACAGCACTGACTTAGTTGGCAGACGTTGTATATAGTAGACAGGGTGCATGTAAGTACCCTTTCCATCCCTTTGCTGGATATTTTATAACAGCGTGGAAAGTGACCCAGAGTTTGTACATCCAAGTATTGGAATGTGACAAGGGTATTTGTGGGGTTGTCATGTTTATGCCTCCTGGTCGGAAACCGAACGTGTAGTCGTGCTTATTTTTACTACAATCCACCCTTTGGTAATCGTTTGCAACTTGTTCCGACCCGGTGCACATGCAAGTCAACTGTATGTACTATTAAGAAGATCATGATTTTATCCGATATTATTATTGTTATATACTATTATTATGATGACTGGATGATGATGATGATGATGATGATGATGATGATGATGATGATGATGA